TAAAAGTAAAAAGTAGATAAATACAAACAGCTCCAGTGGATTTTAAAACAAACTGATATTTATTCAGAGCATCTTTCAGACAACCTGCTGCAGCTTCCTGCATCTCAGAGGTCAAAGGTCAGCAGCAGGACCAGCTCCTGGTTTTACTGAGAGTTCAGAGGAACGACCACGGCTAGGGTTCCTGTAGGAGGAGCAGAGCAGGAGGAGCAGAGCAGGAGGAGCAGAGCAGGAGGGGGAACAGATTTTCAGTTTTCAAACTGTCAGACCAGAGAGGAGAACGTGAAGGACCACCAAACCCAACATCAGACATGGGTATGTAAAAGAAAAATATTGAACTTAAAAAACAAATCTGTAAAAAGAAGCAGCAGTCTGCTGACAAATCAAAATTCTGAGAAATAGATAAACTGATATTTTATTTGTAATTGTAGAGAAAAACACTTTGACGTAATTAAATGTAACTAAAGAAGTGTTTTAACGACTCACCTGGTTTWTTCTGAGTCACAGATTAAACCAAAGCTCAAAACCAAGAGAAAAAAGAAATGGTGCAGAGAGTTATTAAAGGTTTGAGGAAAGTTTAAATGAATCACTTTAACATGCAGAGAATCACTGCAGCTGAGTTTAACTCTTTCAGAATAAAAGTCCTTTAAAACAGGAAAATTAATCCATTTAATGAAATACAAACAAAATCAGGGTGAAAACAAACAAAAAATAAAGGTGTTATTTTGTGCCACACTTCTCTCCATCATCACTGAAGGTTTTAGTTTCTTCAGACCAACTTTTCTTCTTTTATTTTATTTTATTTCTTTGATTTTCAGTTTTCTGATCCCAGCGTGTGCAGGCAGGAGCAGATTGAAGAGTTCTGTCCTGGTTTCGGTGCTGACAGTCTGTCTCCTGACTCTGACACCCTCTGAGGACCAGGACAGTCCTGCATGTTGTCAGGAAGACTGGGGCTGATTTACGGTCCATCAGGGACAGCTGKGGGGGCAGATCTGGTTCTCAGGGAGGGAGGAGGAACCTTTAAGGAACAGCTTGTGCTGCTTCAGCATCTCACTGCAGACAGGTGGATCAGAACCAGCTGTAAGAACTGAAAACACCRGTCTGCAGCTCCACTTTAACATGTTTTAAACCGCTGTCTTCAGGAAACGATGAGTCCAACGCTGATCCAAACTCAGAGACAAAGTCTGGAGGCTCCATGCATCGGACCCAGAACCAAACCCAGGACCCCTCTGAAGCTGTGAGACAATCTGAGTTCTTCTGTCCTTCAGTCTCTAAATGTAAAAGTATCACTTTAAACATGTTTCTGTGATGCTGCTTAAAGTTTAAATCTCTTCTTCTGTAGAAGATTTGATGTTTTTGTCTTGTTTTGTTTCAGGTCTCACATCTCCAAACTAAATCCAGTCTCTGTGACGCTGATGGACTGAAGGACAGTCTGAGGACAGACGTCCACAGCGACACTGAAGATGGACACCTGAAGTGTCCCGCGGGCCTCATCCTGAAACAAAGATGTACTCAGAACCTGTTTTCATCTGTAACGATCTGACAGATTAGAAACACTAAGATCTGTTCACATGTGATGACATGATGAAGAACAGAAGAAAGATCCAGTTAAAATCTGTCAAAATGAATCAAAGCAGCTTAAATATCCAGAAGAAAAATAACGAGTTTCCTGAAAACAGCTTTGGAGAAAAAATATGTCTGAAAAATCTTAAAGTTTGAATCAGAATTAACTGCAGTGTAACAAAAACATGTTCAAAGTGGTCAGAAAATACAGTAAAAATGTTGTTAATTTATTAAGATTTGTGTCTACCTGTCCTCATCAGATCAGGTGGTCTCCACACTCGGAGCGGGGGCTTCTGGGAAAGTCATGGAGTGTGTGGACGGACAGAAGTGAGCGTGAGAATACAATTACAGCATGGTTCAACTGGAAAACAGCTGAAACCTAGTTGTTCTTTGTGTGTTTGTGTTTGTGCGTTTGTGTGTCTGTGTGCAGAGGTGAGCGTGTGGCAGTAAAGGTTGTGAAGAAGTCAGACACGTTGTGTGCAGCAGCTCTGTCAGAGGTTTCAGTCCTGCAGGAGATCAACAGTCTGGAYGATGACAACAGATTGTGAGTCTGAAGAACAAACTTGTAACTCTGTTTTCACACTTCAGTCCTGAAACCGGAGCTTTGTGTCACTTCCTGTYTCCTGCCAGCGCCTGCGTCCGCATGTTGGACTGGTTCCAACACGAAGGCCACGTCTGCATCGTGATGGAGCTGCTCGGACCCAGCACCTTCGACTTCCTGCGACAGAACCACTTCCTGCCGTTCAGCCTGCAGCAGATCCGCCTCGTGGCCTTCCAGATCTTCAGAGCCATCAGCTGTGAGTCCAGCCGGGACCTCTGACCCCTGACGTCTGACCCCTGACCTCTGACCTCTAACCCCTGACCTCTGACCCCTGACGTCTGACCTCTAACCCCTGACGTCTGACCTCTGACGGGGGAACGCCATAAGAAAATAGGACCAAAGCAGATTTTTGTGTTTCCAGTTCTGCACCGTAACAACCTGACCCACACGGACCTGAAGCCTGAGAACATCCTGCTCGTCGGCTCAGAGAAGACCCAGGTGAACCTCCACACCTTCAGGAGGATCTCCTGAGTTCTGATCTGTAACTCTGTGTCTGACCTGCAAACAGACCGGGCCCAGCTGCTTCAACGTGAAGGTGGTGGACTTTGGCAGCGCCACATTTGACCACCAGCACCACGAGACCCTGGTGTCAACACGGCACTACCGGGCCCCGGAGGTCATTCTGGGTCTGCGAACACACAAACAAACACACACAAACACAAACACTCAATGTTGAACCATTTCCTTAAAGGGATCCATGATTAGTTGTAACATTACTTTATTTAATAAACATATATTTTATCTGTAAAATAAAGAC